AAAGTTGATAACTTTTGTATTTCTTATCGGTTTTACATATATAATATATTAAATTAATCATCTTTTGATGATCTTCGATTTGACATCCATATTGTATATATGAAATAAATACATTATATTTATCTTTATAATAACAAAAAATAATAATATTTACTAAAATTCATTAGAAAAATAAAATTATTTCTCAATTGATATATTTATGTTTAATGTAGTTATATGTTGTAAGTTAAAAAAAAAATTATTATAATATAACACAAGTAGGTCACACAAATAAAAAGTGTCATATTAAATATAATAATATAAAAAATTTTAAAATATATTTAAATTTTCAACAACTTGTTTCAGTAATTTTATATTTGAAGAAAATAATTAGTAAGCACCCGTGTAATACACGGGCGTTGTAAAAACTTATTTTCTAAATAGTAATTGTTTCTCTTAAAAACTTATTTATTATATTAATTAATTAATTAATTAATTTATGGTATAAAATTACAAAAATAATAATTCTCATTTTAGTAATAAAGTTGATGATTTTATGGTACAAAGTAGACGATTTTATCTGAGCTATGTAATGACCATTTTTTGTAGGAAATGTATTGTTATTAGTAAATCCAATTTTGGTATAAAGTGAGAGAATTTATGGTACAATTGCAGTCAACTTTAATTAATTCTATTGAATGGATCTAATTTGAATTGTATTTGGTATAATGTATTGTTATAAATAGTTATTTAGATGCTGATTTTACTAGACTCGAGGTATGTGATGTCGATTTTAATTACGTAGAAATTAAGTGGGCCATTTTAATAAATCCCGTTATTTTAAATTTTAGTTACATAATTAATTAAGTATCAACGGGATATAATTTAGGAAAAATAAAAAAAAAAATATATATAGGACTTGATTAAATAACTATTTTAGATATTAGTTAAATGAATAATTGATTATCAGTTGGATATAAATTAAGAAAAGGTCGGATATTAGTTAAATGAATAATTGATTAAATGATTAATCAAGTAACAACCAAATATAATT